AGTCGCCGAAAATGGCAATTTCGAGATATAGTCGGCCCATAAAACTTTTTTTTCTTTTTTTTTTTCAATTTAAGCTCTTTTCTTTTTATAATAAAATTTATTTTTTAAAATTTTAATTATATTCTTTGATAATTTAATTTTTCAATTTTAATTAAATAAAATTTATATTATTTATTTAATTTTCATAATTTCTTTTTGTTTATTTTTTATTGTGATTTTTTTGAAAATAATTTTAAAATTTCTTAATTGTTAGCTTTCTTTGTAAGAATAATTTGGCATTTTCAGGAATAAAGAGAAAAATTCGCTTTAAAAACACTTTGTGAAAATATGTGATGGTCCTATGGCGCATAGGGATGCTAAAAGTTTATTTTTTGATATTATGAATTTTGAGTTCTTGTCCAGCGTTGTTATTTAGGGTGCGTTTGACACCCATTTTTTGAAGATAAAAATTTTTAGAATAGTGATTGATGGGAGAATGTGTGGTGGAAAAGTTATGAAAAGTTTTAGATTTGTATGTAATATTATTTTATTGGGAGAATGTGTGGTTGAAATGAAGTAAGAGAAAAAAATGAGAATGAGAATGAGAAAAAAAAGGGTGTCAAACAGGGGCTTAGTATAATATATTGTATGATACTAATAAAGTAAGTAAAATGTTACTAAATGACAACATGTCTACTTATATTGCTATTAGTCGCTTGAGTGCACTTATTATTTGATATATATATACACACACAAATTGAATTTGAATCTAACAAAATTATTACTAAAGAAATTGTCGCTCAAATGTAAGTTGAACCTTCGTTTCATGAAAAAACATATTATTTATAAAAAGAAGCACATTGATGAAAGTGTCAATGATTGAATAATACATTTAACTTAAGAATTTTTTCGATATTTTTTATATATAATTCATCAAGCTCTTTCTTCAGTTAAATTAATATTTGAACAGTTTCAAAACTACAAAAACACTTCTGAATTTTTGTTTGATTTAAAAAATTGCAGAATGCACATGATAATTGCTTGAAGTGTTGGTGTGATAAGCTTGAATAATTTTTGAAACACGGTAGAGATTCTAATATTAATGGACATGAGCTTTTTTCTGGGCTACAAATTTTAAATTCTAAGATCGACCTGGATTGCATTAACTAGTAGCTACATTAGACAAAATTGTGTTTAGTACATTTATAAAGGCATAATTATAAAACACGTTTTCTTCATACTTGTTCCATTTTAATAAATCATTCAATTTCTGAATTTTTTTTAATTTTGTTGATGATTTTTTTTAGGACACAGGCATTATTAACTCAAATTGCATACTAGAATTCGAGTGAAAATTTTTGAACTCCACCATTTTGCCACCATTTCTTGAATATTTTATGTCTTCAACATCCACAAAAGTCTAATTTCAGCATAATTTGAATTTTATGGTTTTGGCAATTCGGCGCCGTTTAAAATTCAAAACTCTGCATAAAAATTCAAGGATTTTGCTCCTCTGCCAGGGATTGGGGACCGACCCCTCACTGTGCATGGGACCCGCATGAATAAAATATTTCCCAAATGTGTGGGGTCTCCCCCCTATGTGAGGGTCGGTCACTTAGGCCTGTTTTTTGGCCCTGTTTTTGTAGCTCGGTTCAAAATTCAAATGGTAGTTGTTAGAAAGAAGTCAATCCTTGCAGGTGGAATCTTTTGAAAAAAGAATAAGATAACATTCTTTGTGTGTAAAGTGTTAATTCCTAATTAAAGTTAGATATCAATTATCTAGTGATAGTATTTTAATATGCAAGACAAATCCTTGAATTTGTGTGAGAACTTGTATTGTGTCAAACCGAGCTCAACAACTGAAAAAAGATCATGAATTTAATTTGGTTGATGATCAAATGGTAGTTTCTTATAATTCGTTACAAGATTAGTATCTAAAAAGGAATATCTTACGTGAAGTGGATCGTTAGATAATTTTCTTAGAGAAAGGATTGATACCTTCTCCAAGATAAGTGAGTTATTGAATCTTTATAATATTTTAGAGCGAAACGTGTATTGCTTAACACCTTTTGTGTCCATGTTTAAATTTTCCAATGAGGTAAGATTTTGGTCCAACTGACTAATAATTAGTGTAGCTTTTAGAAACTTGAGTGATTGCTATTGTAAGTATATTACTTCAATTTTCATTTTGAAAAATTTCAGAAATTTTAGTGACCCTAAAGAAACTATTAGACATGATGACTAGAAGGAGAGGTTTCATTGAAGGGTGAATCCAATTGCCAAATTTTTTCTTTGATTTTCTTTTTTATTTATCACACAAGTATTTAGGGAGTTATTTTGTTCCGTGGATACCATTGAACCAATAGATCAAGATTCCTTATAGCTACTTTGCTAAAACTCATACATCATCTTGAAAACTTACTTTTTGCATGAAGCATTAAGTAATGGGAGATGACAATTTAAAATGACCAGTTTGTAAATGAGATCGACAGAGATCATGAAAATTGACGAAGATCACTAAGATTATGACTTAACAAATTTGTTTATAATTATATTTTCCAAATTTAGGTCGATTACATCTACCATATTTAGATTGATATCATAGTTATATAAGGTAAATACTCTTCCTATATAATGCAAGGAATCCCTCAAATAAAGATTATTCGGTCAAAAGTTTGTCGGGTAGCAGAACCTGCCTCGTGAACTTTATACTAAATCTTCGATTTTCTTTGGGCATAACTCAACCTCTCAGGTATGGGTTTGGGTTTCTTTTGGTGGTTGATGGTTAACATAATTTTTGTCAACGTGTAACTCTTGTGGTGAATTTCTTGTGGTGGTCGATGGTTGACAAAATTTTTGTCAATTATGACTCTCGATACATTGACTGTGGTGCAGTTCCTACCATTCCAAACCTATTTTGATCTCCATAGTTTTTATATCTATTTTATCCTTCCCTTTCTTTATTAAAAATAAAAAAATAAAAGCCACCACAAGGGGTCAAATAACTTGCTTAGAGCATCTCCACCCGACTCTTTAAACATGAGATGCTCTCTATTTTAAAGAGTCAACATGTAAAATCATGCTACTATAGACTCTTTAAATTAAAATTTTAATTTAGAGAGTGGGTTTGGC